TTTTTGAGGTTGAAAGCCCCTCCTTATAAGTATGCACCGAAATATTTTAAAGGGTTAATCACCAATGGTGATATTCGCCACACCCTTGGTGTTTTCCTCCCAGATTTAAGTTTATATATAAGAAGTGACAACCACTTGAACGCTAGCACTTGCACTTGTACATAAAGTAACTAATCATTCGTTTGGAGATACTCTTTGTAAATAAATGTTTGTAAATATATATTTAATACTCGTAATGAGTACGAGAGAGTAAGCAGTAATGAATAATATTGTTTTGTCTTTTTCTTCTCCCTTCCACTCCCATACCAAGCTCCTTCGTCCCGTAAACAAGCAAAGCCACTCTCACAACTTAAATAATACCTACGAAAATTTTCGTTACTAAGTTCGCAGTACTATTGGGTTTGGGTATGGAAGAGGGGACACACTTCAAATTACAACTGGAAACTGTTCTAGCCGAAATTCTTGGGAACGAAATAATTTAATTATTTAAGGATTCTTTAAAATTACCAAAAACAAAGAACTTAAAATATGTAGCTACAAATAATTTATTTAATGTAAATTTCAAAATAAACACTCACTGTTTTGACGTGACGTCACTACATAGGACGTAAACTTTATGGCGCGTGAATAGTATTTGTTTATTACACTAGCAATACATTTTCAGTTTAGTATGATAAATTACACTTTTTGCGACAGTGGATTATGAGAACTATAGAACTCAGAGTACCTACCTCGTTTAATATATTATTTTAATGTGTAATCATTACCTATGTACCTCCTCAGGTATTGTTATCTATTGAAACCTTTGGTCCGTCACAACAAGAGAGCTGGCGTTTCTTTCCTGTCAAGTTGCTGACGAAAAACATATTTATAAATTAAACATTTTTGTGTATACCTTTTCACTGGAATCCCAACCAATTTAAATAAAAAGATTTTACGTAGGTATTTGTGAAAACAAGAGGAGCAAAAAATTTAGGCTTTCGCCCTGGGTGGCAGAAATTCATGCTGTACCGCCGATGTCTCTTGAAAATGAGTGCCTTCTATGTACTCTTCTGATAGAGGAAATGATAATAAGAAAAGTAAAATAGCGACTGAGGGTGTAAATAGTGTAGTATAATGTTGTATAGTGACAGTTACTACATCAGGTTCAGTTCTAAGTGATTTGTCTAACTAAGAAGCTAAATAAAAAGAGTTGGGGCTAACAATAAGGAATATTACAAGAGACAGCGAATAGTGCGCATATAGATGTTCCGAATAACAATATTTCAATTCTGAAGTTAACATACGAAGTAATTCAAGTATCATATGATCACATTTATTTGGTATTAAAGAAACTTACATTGAATAAATCTTTTAAAATTCTAGCTGATAAGTTTGGAGTAGGTACATGAAAGTAACGCAAGCCAAATATTTTCTTTTGACACGCTGTGAATTGATTTATGAAGTGACGTGCCTTTACGCGGATAAGTGTTTCAAATTACGTTTCAATTTACATAACTTATAAATAAAATATTTCGCAAAAAATAATAATATATATATATATATATTTATATTCAGTAATGTACGTCCGACGACTATCATTATTGAATTATTAATTCTCAATATAATTTTAGCGGAAGTTACCCGTTTCACTGAAACCAGTATAACGGTACACTTTTAACCGATGCACCTTCTAGTTTCAACAGACGTTCACCATCGTATGAAAAAAATTGATTTCTTAAATCCATATTAGTACTAAATTGATCCAATGAATTATTTACAGTTAATTGAATGTACTCAAACACATGTAAAAAATTAACAGTTTTTTACTTAATTACTCAAAAACTCGCGAGATAACTGTATGCTTAGTTTTCTTCGCCTCTCCATAATGAGTAAAAGAAATAAATAAGCTATGCATTTTCTAAACTTTTTAAAGCAACAAATAAATTTAGAAAATAAATATCATATTTTTTACCTGATACTTTGGTATGGTTGTATATCCCTACTGTCTGTCTTCAACATGTAATTTCCAATTGGTCCGTATTCTACCGTAGGCATTCTTCGTTTCTCACCATTCCATGTCTAATCATGTCATACCAAGCTATCCCCCCACCCCGCCTTGAGTCATACAAGTAATAAATACCATAATAATAAAATACATATGTAAGGCATCTACGAAGAGACATTGTCAACCGTAAAATCTCCATGTATTTTCCATTTCTTCTGAACAAATCAGCAGCAATCCAAGATGTACTACAATTAAATGATGTCGGTTGCTTTTGGATTGAGGGGATCAAAGTTGCCCATAGCAATATAGATATTAGTGTTCTCCTCAATAACGTGTACGGTATCGGTGATTGATTATGTTTTTTTGCAAGAGTTCTTACTTACCTATTTCCAGGATGCTTTCTCTACTGCAGTTCTTAGGCTTTCACGGCCGGCGTCTATCGATGCTGTGTTTTCTTCCGGGCTTTTTGGTCGTGGAACCTTGCTTTTCCAAACGTTTCGCCGTCGTAACAACAGTTACGACTCAGCACCTGCCCAGTCATCACTGAAGATGCCGTCAGCAAAGAACGGCGAAACGTTTGCAAAAGCAAGATTCCACGGACTACGGCCAAAAAGCCCGGAAGAAAACACAGCATCCATGTTTGTCTTACAATTGTTTCCGATATAATATGCAGCTGACTGTAATCTCATTTTTTCTTCTCTTAATATATATTAATATAACTATCCTTTGTGCCAATTGTCTGTTCGTCATAAATGTTGGGAACTTAAATTTCTTCACATTCACTTTTCAAACTCATATCATTGTCATCAGGCTCAATGTCAGACTCAACCTCCTCGTAAAGCCGTCAAAGATATAAATTTTCCTTTTTGTAATTCATGGCGAGCACTTGTGTATAAAGCCAAAGGTCCCGGGTTCGATTCCCGGCGAGGGTGTGACAGTAACAAAAATTNAATTTAATAATATTAACAACTTATGAACATCTAGATTTCAAATAAACAATAAAATAAGAAAAAAAAATAAAGAAAAAAAAACATAGTGGATCACCATTAGAGTCCTAGGAACTAGGAACAGAAAATCTTTTGCAGTTAATATGAAGAGCACAAATTTACTAGTAGTAATAGCTTCGCTCCAGGACAATAAAACAGGTTCTTAACATGTACTAAGGACCCAAACAAGAACCATTACTCTGTTCAACAAAGAAGTCCCCAAATAATTCATTCTTCACTCCGAGAATCCAGTGCGTAATCTAGGAATCTTGTTTAAGCACCTACTTAGCATTTTTCCTAATAAGGCCGCTTACGTATTGACAAAATAGAAAATAAAATATTATAATGCATACAAAGAGGACGATGAATATAAATTAATACCAAAAAATAAATTATTTGATATACACAAATTAGGTTATACATTTTTATTTTCAACGTTAAAAAATTGAAATAACGAAGTGAAAGAAATTTACCTAACCAAAGGAGTACTAGTACAGTATAGATGGTCAACGACTAAATTGTAGATTATAAAAAAAATACAATAAGGGAATAAGAAAAATTCGTTTGATGTAAAAGAGGAGTTTGGAGAATATTGTATCCCTCGACAAATTTGGTTTTTGGACGGTTTATGTTCAACAGTATTACGTAGAATGAAGGTCAGTTGTCCAATTCATTCGTCACAAAATTGCATAAAACAGTTAAAATAAGAGTGTATCCTGATAAAATGATCTAAGGCAGAATTGTTATAGGAGTGCACAGGAACGATGCTCAGGAAAGACATCTTCCATGAGTTTGATTTAACACTTGAGAAAGCTATAACACACCATAGTATATGGACGCTGTACACAGTGTAGTCTCCATATTGTCCACCTCTAAAGCTAAAAGCTATCTTTGCCAAGTTTGGTCATCCACATGAAGTCACACAATATCTACAATGTACACTTCAGCGTTTATCATTGAAGGGTTTTGCCTGGAATTGAATTTTGACAATTGTAACGAGGTTTTCAAATTATACGGTTTACCAATGTGAAACTTCATTTTTAATTTTTCCCACTATAAACTACCTCAAGTTAATGAGGGAAAATTGTTGATGTTGTTACACCCTCGCCTGGAATCGAACCCGGGACCTATGGCTTTACGCACCAATGCTATAACCACTAAGCTACGAGAGGTGACAACAACAACGACAAACCGTATTTATTAGGTCACAGATCTGTTGAACTAATGTAATTCTATTAATGCCATATATATGAAACACATTGACATTTAATAGGGATTAGTATCAAATACCAATGTGAAAATTCATTTTAATTTTTTCTCACTATCAACTATTAAATGTCAAAGTGTTTCATATATATAGTATTAATATATTGATATACTTACATTAGTTCGATAGACCTGTGACCTAATAAGTACGGTTTGTTGTTATTGCTGTTGTCACCTTTCGTAGATTAGTGGTCAGAGCATTGGTGTGTAAAGCCAAAGGTCTCGGGTTCGATTCCCGGCGAGGGTGTGACAACAGCAACAATTTTTCCTCATTAACCTGAGATAGTTTATAGTGGGAAAAAATTAAAATTAATTTTCACATTGGTATTTGATATTAACCCCCTATTAAATGTCAAAGTGTTTCATTTTTACGGTCTAGTTGAAATAGTGGGAATAGCAAGTTATGATTAAAAAAACTCTAGAGAATGTAAAAAATATATTTGAGTCCTTATTGCAGTATAGGATTTCACCTTTGAAGTATACTGGGTATTTGTCTGCACAACCTATTATAGGCCAGAAACGCTCAGTTGTACCAAAAAGCCTAATTACGTAACAGGACTTTTCTAAGAAAAAGAAAACGTTACAATCAACTGATTTTTAGCCTAAGTTAGCCTTGTACAAGTTATTACATAAATAGAAATATTTCCGATGTTTTAGAATCTCTGAATATTATCTATTAATGAGATTTTTGTTTATATGATAAATTGGCTATGGAATATTATGTCAACATTTTATCAGTAATATTTATTTGTTTTGTTGACTCCTGAAACCTTTCTCAATCAGTTTATTCATTTAATTACGCAGAGTCAATTTAATTATTATTGAAACCATGTCGGAATTGGTATGTGTGAGTGATTTCGAAAAAGAAGCATTCCAGAATTTGCCTAAAAATGCCCGGGATTACTATAGAAGCGGGGCTGGTTTAGAAAAAACATTGAGCGAAAACAGAAATGCTTTTTCTGAGTAAGTCAAAGCTCTTTAAATTTCTTGAAAATTCTTTGTTGTACAAAAAAAGTTTTTAAACAGTATAAGGAAACGTTAAAAGTTAATTTTGAATGTTTTTATTGTGAAATTCATTGTGAACATAATACTTATCATTTAAAACCTAATGGTGATACATTTTGCTACTGTAAATTATATACTATTCTCTCTGAAAATAGTTTTAATTCGATTCCATGATTTTATAAGCTTGATAAATACTTATTTAAATTAACACATTCTTATTTTTATAATACTTTAATATCATTTATTCCCCTACTTAATCAGAGAATTACTTGAAGTTACTGTATTTAAAACGTAGTCATACTTAAATGCAGTGACCGTTTACATAGGGAAAGATATATGATGTCAGATTGATTAATAGACATTGAAATTATGGTGTATGAAAAAGGTTTAAAGTCTACAGTTCTTAATCAATAGGCAAATATTAATCACTGAAAGAGTTCTTTCCGCAATTTCAAACTACCTAAAATAAATGAAACGTAATTTGTAAGTTTTTAATAGTAGGCACTTAAAGTAACTTACATATAACAAAATAGAAGGGCAATAGTACAGAAAGGTACAAGACGGCCCTTCTAGTAGCAGATAAACAAATAGGTAAATAATATGAACGAGAATTTCTGTTTAAAATCATAAAACACGATGACATATTTCTTATTTAAGTAGATTATAAAAAATATATAATGCGTTGTATATAATATGGTTCATCTCCTTTCGGAACTAGCTATGCAGTTCAGGCAATATGGGCGGATGAGTGGAAGAAATTATTCGAATTAATTTCTTTTACACAATTTTGTCGCTAAATACAACGATGTAGGTTGTCAGCTGGTAACCTGGTTTGGTATTGTTTAAATCACGATTGTTTAAACAAATGGCAAAAAATTACTTTTTTAATCGGAATATTTTTTTTATATTCTTTGGTCTAATCTCGATAAAAAGGGATAAAGTTTTTTTATAATTAATATTTTTCGAATTTTTGAACGTCTGAATATACAGGTACATGAAAATCGCTATTTTAAAATAAATATGTTTTTTTAGAAGCTAATATTTTATCTATATTTCATAAACTATATTTGATAAACTGCACATGATATTAGGGACGTCTTCTTTTTCTTATTCTTTTATTCAATTAAAGCTCTAGCTTCTTCTCTTCTCAAATTTACTTTGGGCCATTGAATGTATTGCTGGGAATTACATCCGCCACGAAGAAGATTTAAGGTTTCCGGGTTCGTTAGCTAGTCTATTTTATTTGATGGTTTTACCAGACATTTCGTCATCAACTGTTAATGACATCTTGAGTGGCTTGCTGTCGAATGCGTGATCGCAACTGACGCTGAACCGAGTACTTCGACGCAGTTGATGATAAAATGTCTGATAGAACCATCAGCCAATCTGAACCATGATCAATAAATTTGGAAATCTCAAATGTCTATATTTTTTTTATTATTATTTATTGCTAATATTGGACTTCACTTTTTTGAATATCGAAATTGATAGTATTCACTTGAACTTGAACTTCCACCTGTAGGTCATTTTCCTTTCTCCTTCTTATGATTGTTTCTTTATATATACATGCATATAAATCTCTTGCAGCTCTTTTGCTATATATTTATTTGAAAGATGCATTCCATTACTTTTTTATATAAAGTGGATATTTTCGGTACTTAGACAGTAGTTACTTATTTCACTTGGTCATTACTTGTAACACAGAGAATCAATCATTCTGCTCTTTCAACACTCCCTGTTTCTCCCTGCTAGGCACCTATAGCGTTTTTATCTTCCACTTTTTCTTAAATAAATACTTCTAACGGATACTGCATTATAAACATGAATTTCGATTACTCCTTGATTATAACTACAATATTGTCTCTTCCGTCAATCTGTTATTAAAACTTCCTTATTATATTTAATATTTTAATCCTTGTTCCTTTTTTTTAGCATTCACCTTATAACGTTAGCGTATGCTTTTGAGTCTCATACAAAAATACATAAGTATTAATACACATTTCGTTTTATACTTATCTTTGCGCATATTTTATTCGAAAGTTTGCGATTTAAGTATTTTGCGTAGGCACTTTTTTAAATAAAAAATAAAGGAAAAATCGAATGAACCAAATTAAAATAAGGAAAATTAAATTATTATGCATGCGTGAGTCTTAATTTTGGATCAAACTTAAAAAGGTACTAATACAGTTTTTTTACATACTTTATAAATAAAAACTTCTAGATTAAGAATAAGACCAAGGTTCATGAGAAATGTTAAAACAAGGGATTTATCTACCACTGTCCTTGGAACAAAAGTATCGGCACCTATTGGGATTGCACCTACAGCTATGCAAAGAATGGCACATCCTGGAGGGGAATGTGCAAATGCAAAAGGTAAAACACCAATGACGATATGCTCATCTCTATAAATATTCATCATCATCATCATAAGGTCATCAGTCCTAAGACTGGTTGGACACGTACCTCCACACCTTTTCTATCCTGAGCTAAAATTCGCATTTCCCTAAAACTAGAACAGCCCACATCCTTAACTATTTGCGAAGAGTAATCTAATCTAGGCCTACCTCTACCCCTCCTAACTCCTGTTTCTGCTTCTAATATGTCTCTGACTAGACCTTCATGCCTGAGAAGGTGTCCTACCAACCTATCTCGCCTATTTTTTATTGACTTCCATAGAGTCCTCTGTTCTCCTATTCTTTCCAATACCTCTTCATTTCTAACCTTTTCTACCCACGATATCCTCATCATCCGCCTATAACACCACATTTCGAACGCTTCTAACCTTTTCTTTTCCGCCGCTCCCACTGTCCATGTTTCGCACCCGTACAACGCCGTGCTCCAAACATACACCTTTAACAACCTTTTTCGAATTTCTAAATTAACCGTTCGCGAGCATAGAAGTGACTTCTTTTTATTAAAGGCGACACGACCCTGCGCTATCCTCTGCTTTATATCCCTACTACTCCTTCCATCCTCACTTATCTGACTTCCTAGGTATCTAAAATCAGCCACTTCTTCTAATTTTTCGTCTCCTATCTTTATATTCGCTCTTTCCCTACTTTTTCTTCCCTTGCATACCAGTATTTTAGTTTTACTTTTATTTATTTTCATACAGTACTGATCTGTCAGTACCGCTTCCATTTTATTTAAAGCTATCTCTAGGTCCTCCTTGCTAGATGCTAATACTGCTATATCATCTGCAAATCTAAGCATACTAATCTTTTGCCCTTGCACATCTATCCCTACAGTTGTACTGTCTTTAATGATGTTGATGGCGTCTTCGATGTATAGATTAAAAAGTAGCGGTGACAGTGTGCATCCCTGCCTGACTCCCTTCCTAATATTTACTTCTCTACGTTGCATCCCCAGCTCTATAACTGCCTGTTGCTCTTTATACAAACTAAGTATCACTCTTCTATCTTTGTAATTCATCCCTACATTTTTAAGTATATTTAACATCTTGTCCCATTTAACATTGTCAAAAGCTTTCTCTAAATCTACAAATCCTATGTACGCACTCTTTCCTTTTTCTATCGTTTTCTCTATTGCTACCCGTAAAGCTAGAATGGCCTCCCGCGTTCCTCTATTTCTTCTAAACCCAAATTGATCTTCCCCTAATAGTTCTTCCGCCCTTTTTTCCATCCTCCTCTGTACAATTCTAGTTAAGATTTTTGACGCATGGGAAGTTAAGCTAATTGTTCGAAATTTCTCGCACCTATCCGCGCCCCTCTTCTTAGGTAATGTTACTACTACGTTCCGTTTATAATCCTCTGGGACTTTCCCCGTTTCGTAAATGTGACTAACTAACTTAAACATACGATCTCTAACCTCTTGTCCTGCATGTTTTAGAATTTCCCCCTGTATCCCATCTACACCTGGCGCCTTATTATTCTTTAAATTTTTTAATGCTACATCGAACTCTTCTCTCATTATGGGATAACCAAGCTCATCTATTTCCACACTATCTTCCTTCTCTAATATATCTCCTAACTCAGGGCCTGCGTAAAGGTTCTCTAAATATTCTTTCCACCTATCTGCCTTTTCCTCATTTTCTATCAACATGACCCCTGCCTCGTTTCTTATATTATTACTACTGTATCCTACATCTCTAAAATTCCTGTTAATTATATTATAAGCCTCATCGGTTTTACCTACTTCAAACTTTTCTTCTACTTCTTTACACATCCTATCAATCCACTGTTCCTTAGCTGCCCTACACTTCCTAATTATTTCCCACTTTATAGCTTTATATCTTTTTTGCCCTTCTTCGTCTGTCCTGTTTTTGTATTTCCGCCTTTCGTCTATTAATCCTACAATCTCATTTGTTATCCAGGGTTTCCTACTTTCGTTTTGTTTAAGACCTAGTACCTCTGTAGCTGCTGACTTTAGACACGTTTTAATGCAGTTCCATTCTGTCTCTATGTCCCCGTCATTCGTTTCTCCAGCCGCCATTAGTATTTCGTCTGTCATTTTACCTAGCCTATCACGCGCTTCGTTACATTTTAGCTTTTCTAAGTCGAGACGTCTCCTACCTGCCCTCTTTTTCAGAATTTTGAATTTAAGATTGGTCTTCATAACTACTAAATTATGATCGCTATCTATATCTGCTCCTGGATAACTCCTACAGTCCTTCACTTGATTTTTAAATCTTTGCCTAACAAGTATGTAATCTAACTGATATCTCCCTAAATCACCTGGCATCTTCCACGTATAGCGCCTCCTAACGTGATGGTTGAATAAAGTATTCGCGACGGTTAAGTTATGTTTATCGCAAAATTCTATCAGCCTATCTCCCCTATCATTTCTATTGCCTAATCCAAAAGAACCTGCTATTGCACCCACTTTACCTTCACCTATTACTGCGTTGAAATCTCCTAAAACTATTAGGTTGTCCTGTCCTTTCACTAAACTTAACACGTCTTCTATATCTGCATAAACTGCTTCTACGTCTTCATCACTGTAAGATGATGTAGGCATGTAGACCTGCACTAATACCGTTCTTACCGGCTTTGAGTTTAATTTAACCATAACTATCCTATCGCTTTTTTGTAAATAACTTTCTACACTCTGCCCTACTTTCCTACGCATTACAATTCCTACACCTGAATTACCTTCTACCGATCCTGTATGTATTACTCTAAAGTCCCCACTCCAGAAGTCTCCAGCTTCGGGCCAACGGACTTCACTAATACCTACTATATCTAATTCTAACCTATCCATCTTTAAATTTTCTAATTTCCCTGCCTGCCTCATTGACCTAACATTCCACGCTCCGACTCGTGAAACATTGCACCTATCCCTATTGCACGTATTGATGACATCCCCCGAGGTAGTCCCCGCCCGGACATCCGAATGGGGGACTAGTTTACGTCCGGAGTGTTTTAACCCAGAGGACGCCATCATTTAATTTCAGTAGTTGAACGTTTTACTTGGGATCATAATGTGGTGGTTTCCCGTTGCCTTCCACATCGCAGTATTGTGCATCAGAGTGCCATACCGATCCTCGTGGTCTCTGCCACCCTGAGTACTGAAAGAG